CTTTTCAATGTCCGTGGCAGCACCCGGAGGTATCAATGTCGACGCTAGATTTAACTTAATAAAAGATTAACGAGTTCCAGGTCGTCCCTAATGTCCCGAGCATCATTACCACCTCTTGCCAACTCTGATCTTCCGGCCTGACTTTGATCTTTACCAGCTGGTGAGTTTTTGTCGGGTCGAGTTTCCTGACGTGAAGGACGACCAGCTGCCTCAAACTGTGGTGCGTACCGGGTCCCGTTATACCTGTCACCTACCCTAGTAGTACCTGGAGGTGGCGGGGATTTCACACACGACCTCCCTTCCATCATCACTGCTAGAGACACCACCACCTCCCCTCTTTTCACTAACACTGTAATCCTCCCTTCTTCTCCCCTCCTCCCTCGCTAACACCACATGACCCTCCCCTCCATTACATTGACCCTCCCTCCCCTCGCTAAAAGCACAGTGACCTTCCCCACCCCTTCCCTCCCCATAGTACAATATCATTCCCCCTTCCATCACCTCCCCTCACCAACACAGCATAAACACCATCATCTCCCCACACCAACACCACAATGCCCCTCCTCCTCTCCCCTCACCAGCACCACAGAGGGGACACTAAGACCATCATGAGGGGAAGGGGAGCCATAATCAGTGGTGGTGGTGGTGACCGGGAGGGAAAATTGCGACGCCTGGCAAAAATCAACCTATCCCATACCTCTTCTTCATTGCTTTTCCAGTTCCCGTCCCCTTTTCCACACACTTTTTTTTCCTTCCTATATTTCTTCTTCTTTTCATTTTCTCTTTCCCAATATTTTTCTTGTTCTTCTTCTGTTGTTTCCCTGTTATATTGTTTTTCTTCTTCCTGGCTCTTCTCCTAAATATTTTGTCTCCTCAGTGTTTTTACCTTTATATGGCTATATTTTGGTCTTCTGACTTGGCTATTACGACTTTGACTTGGCTATTTATAACTTGACTTGGTTATTATTCATTAACTTGGCTATTTATGACTCACTTGGCTATTTATGACCCAGACTTGGCTATTTATGACTCACTTGGCTATTTATGACCCAGACTTGGCTATTTATGACATTAACTTGGCTATTTATGACCCAGACTTAGCTATTATTCATTCACTTGGCAATTTATTCCTCTGACTCGGCAATATATGCACTTTACATCGATCTGTGGTCCCTGACTTTATCATCAGTGCCATTGAGCTGGTTATCAATACGTTTGAATTCCTTCCAACCTTTATCAACTGTCGTGTGTGGCCGCGTTTCTTCCCGTCCTCCAGATCTCCTCAGCTCAGGTCCACTCGTACTAAGTCACCATTTCTTTATGTGTTTCCCCCACACCTTCCTCCCTTTTTCTTGAGATTTGTGTGTGTGTGTGTGTGTGTGTGTGTGTGTGTGTGTCCTTTCTTAGCTTTATTTCCTGTTCTCTTCTCTCTTTCTTTAACTCCTCTTTTCCCTTTGTTCTTATCTTCGTTACCTCATTATTTTTTTAACGCCATTTTTATTTCCCCGTTTTTTTATTTTTTTTCGTTTTTCCTTTTCTTTATCTTTATTTTCTTTTCTTCTCTCTAAGTCTTCGTGATTGTCTTTTCCATTTTTCCCTTTCTTTATCTTTATTCTCTGTGTCTTACTCTTTTTCCCTCATCTTTATTCATTATTTCCTCTCTTCACTTTCAGATCGTCTGTATACGAAAATAATGAAGAATAGCTAAGAGTCATCCTGTTAATGGTGAGGTGGTTGTGGTGGTTGTTATGGTTGAGGTTGTAGTCTCGTTTACCCTGGTCGTGGTTGCCGTGGTTGTTGTTGTGGTGGTTTATGGTTTAGGTTGTGGTCGCAGTTATGGTCGTTTATCCTGATCGTGGTTGTCGTTGTTATGGTTGTGGTCGTAGTTGCCTGGGAAAATCTTATTACCTTTAAGAGCCATAAGTAGAGGAGTGTTTTCGTTCGCTCAAGGTCTTTGTGTTGTTTATTCTTTACCTCTTCCTTTGTGAGAGAGAGAGAGAGAGAGAGAGAGACCACTGGCTAACATTTACCTCCGTGTATCACCTCACACGTCAGTCTCCCCAGAATAGAAAATCTTTCCTTCTCGGGCTTTCTTCCATCCATCCACCCATCCATCTGATCACCGTAACAATCCCCCGTCACATATTTTTCAGAAAACCAAAAAATAATATACACCTTATTTACCTAATGGCCACTTCAAGGTCGGAGGTGGCCATGCCGAGGATAGGAAGGGCTGTGTGTGGCCCTTACATTGTTTGGTAGTCTTGCCTTTAGGGCGAATTTGAAGTCCAGTACTGCTCTCGATGTCACAGCTTGGGCTTCTTCACACCTTTGTTTGAAGAAGATTGTCCTTATTTTTGTCCTGCATGGTACAGTATATCTTGGCAGGCTTGTAGTTATGTCCTCTGGTTTTGGTGGTGCGTGACATCACAAAAAAAGTAATGTCCCGGGTTCACGTTTTCCATCACTTTCATGATTCTGAATGTCTCACTGTGATCTGCCCTATTGTGTCTTATCTGGAGATTTGTTCGTCCTAAGGCCCACAATCTTCTTGGATAATGGAGATGACACAGTTCCAGAATCAACCTACTTGGAGAAAATTATATACTCCGATTATAAGTGAAAATACCATTGTGTACCTATATCAAAACAGCCTGAAGGTGGTGTGTGTGTGTGAAAGGCTCGCAAGAAAATAATATAAGCCTCCCAGATACTCAACCCAGTGTGACAATCTCCGCCAAGAGCCTCAGAAGACCAGTTGGGTGTTCACGGCAAGAGAGGGGCAGGTGACGCGCGACGGAGTTCTGCTGTCGGTCGATGGCGTGCTCTTCCAGGGCAAAAACTATATATTTTTTCTTTTTATTTTCTCTTTATTTCGTCGTTCACTCGTGTGTAAGGTTGTAGAAATATAATACACAAAATACAATTGGAGAATATTAGAAGTACAGGAAATGACGTGAATTGACAGTAATAATAAGTTGAAATACAGACATACATCCAACACCCACACCACCCCTACACACACCCACACCACCCCTACACACACCCACACACCCCTACACCCACACACCCCCCGATAACCCCCCCACACACCTCTACACACACTTAAGTCCGCAATACCCTAAGATAAACTTTGACTAAACCATTAAATATAACAAATAAAGCCATCAGGTTATTAATATTTTGCGATACATATATCTTAGAGGAGCGTCCATACCAACACTTGAAACGACCATTACTATGACCAATATCATCCATTATTTCTGTTTACTGGGAGGGAGTTGGCAGCTGCTATGCACAAATAACTACGAGATTCTGCTGCTACGACCCTTGATACATGAAGCTTTGTAAAAAGAATCAACAACTCGTAGATAACTTGTGTGTTCGCTCCTCACTAATCTTCCTTTTGAATTACGTTGAAATACCACGTTAAGTGACCTCTCACCCCTGGTTATTATATAAAATTTATGTTCCACTTATGTTATTTGTATATCATCAACTTAAGGCTGTTGTATTTTTCAATAAATTATCATTATTATTATTATTAGTTTTATTATTATTATTATTATTATTATTATTATTATTATTATTAACCTGTACACATAAAATCGTGAATGTAAACAAAATAAATTCTTCTGACAATAACAAGAGAAATATTCTTACTGGAAAGAAAGATAAATTCATAAATTCGTGGCGGGGAGACTACGGTATGTGTTGCTGGTGACGGAAGGGTTAACGGTATACTAATGAGGGAGCAGAGGTATAACACGCTCTAGCAGTGTTGATTATTATGAGGCCCGAACAGACTGTTGTCGTGTATCACCACTGGGCGTGACGAACACCTCCACCTGTCCTGCCAGTTGTGTTGTTTACAATGTTTCACTGTCACACGTAGGCTGCCAATAACTTATAATATAACTCAATCATAACTGGTGCTGCATCACAACTGGTGCTGCATCACAACTGGTGCTGCACCACAACTGGTGCTGCATCACAACTGGCGCAGCACCTCAACTGGCTCTCCAGATTGTGAACATAATGGCACAATAAAGGCAACGACCCGAGGTAAAGAACCTGTTTACCGCAGCAAGTGTGTGTGTGTGCTTGTGTGTGTATTAAACTCTAGTAACAAGGTAAGCACAAAAGCGTACTGGGGAGGATCTGGTCCCATCCTCTTTTTCCCGCCGTTAAGTTCACATTCTCCCACCTTAACAGCACTGCCGATGATCCCATAATGAAGCCAAAGATCTACACTACACCTGAGAGCCACTGCCTGAGGTACGGGTCTTGTATGTCAGTTACCTCGGGCGTGCAAGATAATTGAAGATTTCTACTTTTTTAATTGAATATTTGAACTCCATTAAGTCTAGGCATCCTTGAATAAATTATTACTTACTGTATGAGTGGACTTAACGAAGCAAAGTGTCATAGGATTTAATATTTACTTAAGTTGTTCTATTGGTATCTGTGGTATGTCATTTAGCTGTAGGAATTTATCACACTGTGGAATCAATGTCTGGTGTCAGGAAGAGATGATGAACTACAGCTATGATTAACTCGTAAAAACCATAAAACAGGAAACAAATGCCACAAAAAACCCTAGAAATATATTGTGATTATTATTTTCGGTTGGGTATATCACTAACAATGGAGAGAGAGAGAGAGAGAGAGTTAATAGACACAGATACTCAAGGTGCTGACAGACAGTTGCCACGGTGATTCATCCTCTCTATGTGTCGTCAGTGCCACGATTGTTGCCAGTAGCAGTATTGTGTCAGTGTAACGGTAATCAATAAACACAGTCTTACACTCCTTCAAAACACTCCATAAAGATTCACCTTCAAACTCCCACAACACAGATTTATGTCAATACCGGGTATATTTTTTTAAGCTCTTTTTAATGAACAACTAAAGGACGTTTAGATGTTCCTCCCGTGTAGGCCTGGAAGAGGTCTGCATACAAGACCAGTCCCCCATCCTGCTTCACCCCTGACATCCTAAGAACAATGCTGCAGACTACAAGGCCACCTCGTACCCCAATATTTATAAGCCATGCCCCCTCGCCTTATCGTGTTATTCTTTCTCTCTCAGGACCAGAAGCAGCAGCTGTTGGCATCATGCGCTCCCTTGTAAGTACAGTATACCGGCTGCCTCTCTCTCTCTCTCTCCTCCGCCTCTAAAGGGGAAGAACTTGTTGCCTCCACCACTGACTTGACTTTCACCCATAACGTGTGACACTATTTGACGATTATTGAAGTGTTATGTGATGAGAATTTTTACCCACCTATATTTCACAAGTTAAAAATATTATAGACGAATTAGTTAAGTTATATCGCTAATTGTTACATAATTTAGTGTTCTATCGCTACTAACAGAATACAGTTTCCGGTTTAAAGATTATATTGAATGTTGTTAGCGTAAATACTTAAACGCTGTAGGCACCTGAAGAAGAAGACAGACGCACACACAACAGGTTGGATCTAGAAGCATTAATCCAAAATAAACAACGAGACCATAATTATAAATGTTGTTACCAAAGCACTTTAGACAATGACTTCAGGTAACCAAAAAACATCAAGGAGTGATAGTTAATGAATAAAGCCTTAATGGAAGCTGATAATTATACTAATGAAAAGTATTACCACCAGATATAGAAAATATATAAGATAAAAACAGTTCCAGAGATGATAAGACCTGACCAGACCAGACCAGACCAGGTAAGACCAGACCAGACCAGGTAAGACCAGACCAGACCAGGTAATTAGAATGAGTTCAGTATTTGATAGTACATGAATCAGTCAACTACCTTAAGGACGAAGACAGGAATAACACGAAGAAATTAAGATGATAATGAAGATAAGGGATACAGGGCACAACTTCTAGGTCTACTGTGTTTATGTCCAGGTCGTGTTTATGTCCAGGTCGTGTTTATGTCCAGGTCGTGTTTATGTCCAGGTGTGTTTATGTCCAGGTCGTGTTTATGTCCAGGTGTGTTTATGTCCAGGTGTGTTTATGTCCAGGTGTCAGGTCGTGTTTATGTCCGGGTGTGTGTTTATGTCTATGAGGTGTGTTTATGTCCAGGTCGTGTTTATGTCCAGGTCGTGTTTATGTCAGTGTGTGTTTATGTCTAGTGTGTTTATGTCCAGGTCGTTTTGTGTCCAGGCCGGTGTGTTTATCAGGTCGTGTTTATGTCAGGTGTGTTTATGTCCAGGTGTGTTTATGTCCAGGTCGTGTTTATGTCCAGGTCGTGTTTATGTCCAGGTCGTGTTTATGTCCAGGTGTGTTTATGTCCAGGTCGTGTTTATGTCCAGGTCGTGTTTATGTCCGGGTGTGTTTATGTCCGGGTGTGTTTGTCAGATGTTTACGTTTCGGGTGTGTTTTTCGGGTGTGTATGTCAGGTGTGTGTTTGTCAGGTCTGTTTATGTCAGGTGTGTTTGTCAGGTGTGTTTGTCAGGTGTGTTATGGTAAAAATGATTCACTTTCATGTAAGATGTTTTTCACTAACCTAACATAATCAGATTTTATGTATCCTAGGTTAGGTTAGGTTAGGTTAGAGGAGGACACAACTTGTACAGGAAGTGTGGAGAGTTAGTGACTGCGCTGGTAACAACTTGGGATTAGAGCTGTTTATTCTGCCAGGTTAAAGATGTCAGGACAATGCAACACGGAACAGACTCACCATGAAAGCTTTAACCCTTTGAGGACAATAGTTTTTATTTACAAGGACGATGACTAAGCCCTTTGAGGACGATGGTTTAACTTTTTCGTCCTCAAAAGATTATGACTATGACTTTGGATTTCTCAGTTAATTAAAGAGTAAGCGTTTGTTCATTAACCATAAATTATATACATGTTCGTGTGTTTGTTTAACTCTCATATATTCATTGTTTTATTTTTCACAGCATCCGGATGTGAATACTGTTAATAAGGAAACTGTATCTGTCTTCATCTTTACTGACACTGTGGACACACATGTCATCAATTCTGGCGTGAAATATTATATTTTTGAGTGAATGCCTGGAGTATGTATTAGTGAAGGGTGTAATAAGTGAGGTGTTTTTCCAGGTGATGCTAAGTGTGGTGGTGGGGGTCGCCCTCGGCCAAGGATATATCCCGGACACGCCGGAGGTTCTGGCGGCTCGCAACGCCTTCGTCAAGGAGTACAACCGCCTTGCCATGCTGGCGGCCCAGGCGCCAGACACACACATCTACCACGAGCAGCTTCATCATCACCCGGGGGCAACCAAGCATCACCATCATCATTACGGCGTACCCCTTCCCTCCCTTCAACAGCATGCCGCTGTCAATGCTTATAAATATTCAGCCAACCTGGGCCTCAATGAACATTACGTTCCAGGCCCTAAGACATTCTCCTCCGTCAACCATCTAGCTGGCCATATGGCAGGACACCAAGCGTTCACTGCTCAGGACGCTCCCGTGGTCCCCTGGACAGGACCTCTAGCGGACACTGTGCCTGCAGGCCTCAATGGCCAAGTGAAAGACACCCCAGGTGTGGCAGCTGCCAAAGATGAACATTTCAAGGCCTTAAAAATGGCTACACACACACCTACCGGTCATACGCCCTACACCCACACATTCCATCCGCCTGCCTCTCACTCCTTCCAGCACATCCCCGCCCCCGCCCAAGCACTGTTCCCAGCCCCCGCCCAAGCACTGTTCCCAGCCCCCGCCCCTGTGAAACCCTGGACGGGACCGATGGCGGACACTGTGCCTGCGGGCGTGGATGGTTTTGTTAGAGACACCCCGGGAGTGGCCAATGCAAAAGCAGCCCATTACCAAGCTTTGGCTTCAGCCTTAGGCTACCAGGGTGTCAACTTTGCGGTTTAACGGCAGGAATCTTCAGTGGCGCAGTTCCGTTCTCAGGTGAGAAACACTTGGGTGGGGGAGGGGGTACATACAGTCACCAGGTGAGGAGCCCCGAGGGGTACACAGTCACCAGGTGAGGAGCCCCGAGGGGTACACAGTCACCAGGTGAGGAGCCCCGACGGGTACACAGTCATCAGGTGAGGAGCCCCGAGGAGGCATTTGGTGAGGTGTGTGCAGTCACCAGGTGGAGCCTGGAGAGGCACACACACTCACCAGGTGTGTAGCACATGTTTACCTCTGTACCTAATGCTTCTGGGTAACTAAATCTTTTGTTTAATATACTCCATAAGCTTTTATTTTCCTTAAACACGACTGAAATTAACTGTCAACGGAAAGTTGAACCTTCATGAGAAAACTAATCATCTTTAGGAGAAAAAATTTCCTGACATTTGACCTACAACTTGCTGTAGTTATAAAGGTGACCTCCAGCAAAAGGTAACGGGGGAGGATATCTTGAGGTCTCCGCTAACGACCAAGTCAGTGTTTGGTGCAGAAACTGAGGTGAAACCAACGCAGAGGCCGACGTCACATACAACGCTGATGGCAACGCCGAATCAACGCCAACGTTTATGCCGAGAGTAAGTTAGCCTTTCTGTTGCTATTTTGATGTGAAGAATAATAGAAAAAGGTCAAAGGGAGGAAAAAATCTTGACATAACGCCGAGTTCTTGAAGAACCTGAACGAAAAAAAAAACCCGACCTGGCACCAACCGTCGACTGTTGGACAAATGACTTTTCTGTCAACAACATTAACCGCTATAAGAGGAAGGCCTTCTGACACCACAAGTTATACTTCACATTTCAGAACCATTTTTTTTTACTTAAGAGAGATCTTAAAACCCAGAGGATAATGAATTAGCCATCTAAGTACAGTCGTCTTAAACCCTTTAGTACGATGTCTTGACCCTTTGGATACAATGAACTATATTCCCTTGAGTAAGATGACCTCATCCTCAGGAGGTTGACATTGTACAGGGATATACATCAGGATACGTCCTAACAATGTTTGCATAGTGACATGGCGCCCATATTGTTAGAAGACAACGGTGTCGAGGATGTAAAAATAACTCTTGACATTCTCGACTTCCAAATGTGTTTCGAAATACAATGGAGAGCTTTGAGACTAAGAGAGACGGGTGTTGAAAGTGACCCAGGTTCCTCAGGGTGGTCGTCTCGTGTCGTAGGTCGTCTCGTGTTGTAGGTCGTCTAGTGTCGTACCGTGTCGTAGGTCGTAACTGTCAGGGCTTTAACTCTGGTATACGATCATCACACCAGAAATAAATCTTTATAACACAAACTAATTAAAGGGATTTGGTCTATTTATTATGACGGGGATAACTTCATTAGTGTAAAAGGTGCATTAACATCAGAACCATTTGTTGAACGTATATCATTTAGGCAGGTGAGAGAGACGAGGACTGACCGCCAGGTTGGACAGGTGTGTAAGGCAGGTGTGTCTGTCGTATTTACCTATCTGATTGATGGTTTTAGTTTGCATTGAATTATAGACAACAATACCAATAGTGATGCTAAAATAAGTCTAACCTAACCTTAGTAATAGATGATAATTGTATCTGAACACGCCTGGTCGCGCAGTAGATGTTATTGCTGTTAAAATAAATCAACCTTACCATATGTTAAATTAACATTATCAGCCTTGAAGGTATTTTAACGTTAATATAATCAAATTTTTCATGTAAAACGTTGTAAAATGTTTTATATAAAGAATCATAACAGGCGTCCAGGTTAAAATACTGTACTAATTATGGCTGGTCAATAATTATCCTTACCTAGTTAGTGAATCAAATACCTAATAATTGTTTCCTGTCAACACAATTTAATATTTCAGTTTCGATGTCTGTAAAAAATATAATCTTCACTGGTGTTTAGTTTGTCTATAAAAGCTTTGAAAAGTTGATTAAAAAAACTAGGAACACCGCTCTTGTTATTTCCGCGTTGTTCGAGATTTTGTTTCGTTTTCATTAAAAGTGGTGTTGTGGGACGAGAATTTTTCCTCTTGTTTCTTATCAAACTGTAAAACTGTGTCGGCCCCAACAAATACAGCACACTGTATCTGATGTGCTAAAGGTCAAGGCATAGAACACATTCCTAAACCAATAGAGATAACAAGTAAAACAAACAAAAACCTAGACAAAATACATACAGGTATAAACGTTACCATGGTTACGTAAACAACAAAAGAACACTAATGCTATTGTTTTAAGAACGAGAGAAGGAATAAAGTAAATAATGAAAGAATCACAAGAAAAACTCATTACTTTAAGTTTTCTCCCGCGATCAGAGCTTAGTTAGGGCCATTCAACGGGTCCAGTCAGGTCACCTACACCACACGACTCAATTACAGTATAATAAAATAAGGTAACACACACACACACACACAACACACACATAACACACACACACACACACACACGCACGCACACACACACACACACACACACACAGGTCGAAAGTTCACTCCTCAAAGGCCAAGGTGAAGAGACCTCACCACTCAGACAAGGTTAACTAAATCACGCATCGCTTATACAGTTAATTTCTTCTTGTGGCTGTACTGTACTAGATTATAAGATAGGTAAAGTTCTCACACATTATGTACATAGACGAATGACATCACACATCATTTTAAAACACAAACTACGCACACATAGATCTTGTTATTGACTTATAAATTACACGTGAGGGAAGTTAGTGGATTTCTTCCCTTTGGTGAGGTAAATATGTGGTGAGTGTTGCTGGGTGTAGCAGTGAATGATTGTCTGGTGGGAGTCAAGGGTCTAGCTAGTGTGGTGGTGGTGGTGGTGGTGGTGATAGTTTGGTGGTAGTGTGGCTATGATAATGTGGTGATGAAGGTTTGGTTGTGGTGTGACTAGTGTGGTATTGGGTAAGGTAACCGAAATGACTAAGTGGTATCATTACAACTGTTCATTATTATCTTCTGTTCTACCAGTGGAGAGAGAGAGAGAGAGAGAGAGAGAGAGAGAGAGAGAGAGAGAATTCCCTCCCTATCAGTAACAGGATTAGCTGGAAATGCTTCTGGTTCTAGAGGGGTGAGTGAGGTGATGGGATGTGGGAAGGGTAGGAGAGGAAAGGGCGTGGTAAGGGAAAGGGAAGGGAGGAGAGGACTGGAGAGGGCGTGGTGAGGAAAGGAAGGGGGGAGGGAGGAGAGAAAAGAGGGTAAAAGGACAATAACGGGGGTAGTGAGAAGGGAAGAATTCTGGCTGAGTAAATCACAAATAATCTTGAAAGGTCAGAGGTCAGTGAAGCGGGTGAGTCAGCGACGAGTAACATGAACAGAGAGAGAGAGAGAGAAAGAAAGAAAGAAAGAGAAAAAGAAAGAAAGAAAGAAAGAAAGAAAGAAAGAAAGAGAGAGAGAGAGAGAGAGGAAGTATGGCAGGACGTAGAAAAGGACAAGAGGAAAATTATTGGAAGGAAGAAGGGGAGCATGGAGCGTGCAGAGGAAGGATACGGAAAAATAATTATAATGGTGAACGGAAGTTGATATAAAAGAGAACTCGGGAATCAATAGAGAGAGAGAGAGAGAGAAGAGAGAGAGAGAGAGAGAGAGAGAGAGAGAGAGAGAGAGAGCTAGCCTTGTCTATATTAGGTTTAGTATCTATATGGGATGATTGGTTTGTGATGATGATTGGGACCTGTGAGGGGGTCTGTATTGGTTAGTGATGGTGATGAGGGGGGCTATGTAGGGCTATGTAGGTCTATGTAGGTCTATGTTATGTTGTGTGTCTTTGTCTGTCTGTCTGTGTGTGTGTGTGATTATAACCCACCCATCCATGATTAGGGTTCACGAGAATATGACATTTAAATACATCTAAAATTAATTGACTCGACACGTTCGCCTTCACTTTGGGTTAAGACAGACTGCAAGGTAAGTTTTTTTTTTGCATGGAAGTCTTGTTGGTGTCTTGTGCCATTGAGGAAACTAGCTGTAAACCAGTCGTGACGAATCATAGGGAACAAACTTAAGGTATTTACACCTCTAACCTCCGTCACATACCTGTTATACTACTTTTTTATACAATACACCTCTGTTTCATTGTCTTCATCATACCTGTGTTGTCCTTATTAATACAACTAACTTCACTACACAAGCCTGATCCTTTCCTCATCTGTAACCGCATTTCTTGTATTCCATTACTCCATATCCTCCCTACATCACTCCACTTTCTCCCTCCATCACTCCATTTTTTCCCTATATCACTCCATTTTCTCCCTACATCACTAATAGAGGAGATAACAAGATTAATGTAGAGATGGAAACTTCACTAACACGGACGAGGGAATTAATAGGTAACACCAGGAATGTAAACAAACAATATGGCGGCTTAGGAAGAGACCAGTTAGTGGGCTGAGGAGGAGACCAATTATCGGCTGAGCTAACGCACTCATAAAGACCGTGTGTACAAGTGAGGAAGTAAAATAGTTGCTGTAATTATCGTGGTTTATCCTTGTTATCCCTGATATTTACTTCGCTGTCGGGGGGAAGGCCAGCGTGTTGCATACTCGCTCTCCCTTTTTAGTTCCTGATGACTTTAACCTACAAGAGCCCAGTTATAGTGTTGGAGGAAATTATTAGAATATTCAGAGAAAACCTGCCACATGCGGACTGAGTCACACTGGGTAATAATTATTTCGTTTTCAACCTGGGATCGAACCCGAGTCCCTGTAATTTAGAAGTAAGTTAGTCTCACTGTTGTGCCACCATCTTACCGACACCTTTTTTAAAATTATTATATACTAGCAGCTCTTACTTATGGTAGAGGAGGTACTAGAAGATCAATGAGACTTTATAAGGAGTAGAAACACTGTGTAATTTATTGACAGTCTACGATAGATCTTCCAGAATTGGGGAGTTTAACTGCTTTAGACTACAGGGTTTCTCTTGACTGAGTAAATCGTCCGACGTTGAATAAAATATCCCAAGTGTGCCGCTGCTGCTCTTTAAATGGTTAATAATTAAGTCAATCATATATTTGTTGAGTTCAAACAAAACTTTAATGGTTTTCACAGGGAAGGATTTAGAATGTCCAATATTGATTTGGTTAGTCTTAAAAAAAAACAGTAAAATTGGCAGGAGTGTTGGGTAAATAAGTTGATATGAAGAGGTAGGGCAAATGTGTTCTCTTTCTCCACTGTTGTTTTGCTTTTGTCAGGGGTGAGCAGATGACGAGTCAGGTGGGAGACAAGTACATGCAAACTGGATATCAACAAGACTTTGAAAGAAAATAAATTTAAGATGACATAAC